GCTGTGGCATAGGGGTACAGGACCCCTGCCTGGTCCTAATGTGTCTCCTCCCCTGCTCTCTGTCCCCGCCCTGCTCTCCGTCCCCAGTGAAGTTCATGCGGGAGGTGACCCCCTACATCAAGAAGCCCTCGCTGGTGTCGGACCTGCCGTGGGAGGGGGCCACCCCGCAGTCACCCAGCCTGAGTGGCAGCGAGGACTCGGGCTCCCCACAGCACCAAGGCCCCCGTGACCGCAAGGTGATCCCCCTGAAGATGTGCTTCGCCGCCAGGAACCTCAGCATGCCCGACCTGGAGAACAGGTGAGGGCAGGGGCTGCCCATGTGTGTCATCCCCCCCCCCAAGACCCGTGATTGCTGGCACGTGGGCTCCCCACAGAACCCCCGGCACAGGGCTGGGGGCTGCCCCTTGCTGTGGCCATGACCTCCCTCTTCCCCCACTGAGCTGTAAAAGGAAAGTTTGGGGGGGTTCTCCAGGGCCAAGGCTGTGCCGTGCCCCCCCTGGGGTGGCTGGCAGCCTCCCCTGCCTATGGAAAGGGGGGCCCTGGAAATCCCCCCGGCTTTCTCTGCCGGCAGGACTGGCACCGGACTGTGCTTGGAGGCTCCTTGGCACGGCCAGAGCCCCAAACCAGTGGGGCCAGTTTGCCAGGCTGGGCACGGGCAGGATGATGCTGGTCCCGTCCCACCCAGCGCCGTGTCCCCCTCGCAGGCTGATCGAGCTGCACTCGCCGGACAGCAGGAACACCCTGATCCTGCGCTGCAAGGACACGGCCACGGCCCACTCCTGGTTCACGGCCCTGCACGCCAACATCACCGCCCTGCTCCCCCAGGTGCTGGCCGAGCTCAATGCCATGCTGGGCACCGGCGGCGCCGCGGCCGGCGGCAGGGAGGTGAAGCACATCGCCTGGCTGGCCGAGCAGGTATGTGCCACCAGGGCTGTGCCAAAAGGGCCACCATCCCTGGGGACAGCAGCGCCAATGGGGGCTGTGGTGGCTGCTGGAGAGCCCTGCCACCAGCCTGGCCACCGGGCTCTACCACCCTGTTGTGCCCTGGTGAAGGCAGTGCTTCCTGTGCCCTCAGCCCCCTCTCCTGCTGGGATTTCAATCATAGAATCACAGAATCACATGGGGTTGGAAGGGACCTCTGGAGATCATCTAGTCCAGCCCCCCACCAAAGCAGGTCCACCCAGAGCAGGTTGCCCAGGAACTTGTCCAGGCGGGTTCTGAATGTCTCCAGAGAAGGAGACTCCACCACCTCTCTGGGCAGCGTGTTCCAGGGCTCTGCCACTCACAGTTTAGGTGGAACTTCTTATACTCAAGTTTGTGCCCGTTACCTCTTGTCCTGTCACTGGGCACCACTGAAAAAAGCTCTGTCCTCCTGACACCCTCCCTTTAAGTATTTGTATGCATTCAGTAGATCCCCCCTAAGTCTTCTCAAGACTAAAAAGACCCCAAATTTCCCAGTTGGAGATGCTCATCACCCCCTTGCTCTTCCACAAATTCACTGCCCAAGAGCTGCAGCTCGGCCCCAGGAAAGGGGGGCTCTGGAGGCTGCTCATGGCGTGGCTTTCTGGGATGGCCACCGTGTATGGCTTTACGTGGGTGCTGCTGAGAGCCTGGCAATGGGGAGCCGCTGGCTTGGGGTCAGTCCAGCCACGGATGCAGGGAGTGGGGTGCCTGGGAAGCAGTGGGCAGCTTCCACCCCTGGTGCCCCTCACCGTCTCTTCCAGGCACGACTGGACGGAGGGCGACAGCAGTGGCGGCCAGTCCTCATGGCGGTGACAGAGAAGGACCTGCTGCTGTACGATGGCATGCCCTGGACCAGGGACGCCTGGGCGTCCCCGTGCCATAGCTACCCGCTGGTGGCTACCAGGTGGGCTGGGAGGGCACTGGATCCATCTGCTGGTTTCCTCCAGGGACTGTCTCCCCTCGGCTGCATCCAGCTCCACTGGCACTGCAGGGAGGGGAGATCCTGAACTGCTGATGTGCATGGGGCGGTGGCTGGCACTGCCATCATGCCCCTGATCCCCCCCTCCATCCGTTTCCTCCTTCTCCAGGCTGGTCCACTCGGGCTCGGGCCGCCGCTCGCCCGCCCTGGGCTCAGAGCTCACCTTTGCCACGCGGACGGGCTCTCGCCAGGGCGTGGAGATGCACGTCTTCCGCGTGGAGACCCACCGGGACCTCTCCTCCTGGACACGGGTCCTTGTCCAGGGCTGCCATGCCGCCGCCGAGCTCATCAAGGAGGTGTCTGTGGGTGAGTGCTGTGGGGAGGGGGTGTCCCCAGGGGTCCCCTCTTCCCTCCTGGGGCGCTGGCAGGGTGAGGGTGCAGTGGGACCTGGGTGGCCTGGCAGGGACCTCCTCTCCGGGGGGGCTCGCAGGCAGCAGGACGGGCAGGGGGGGCTGAGCCCTGCCCGTGCCCGCAGGCTGCACGCTGGGCGGGCAGGAGGTGCAGCTCTGCATCCACTACGAGGGCGGCTTCACCATCTGCCGGGAGGAGCCGGGCGGCAGCGTCCTCTTCCGCTACCCCTACGAGAGGCTGAAGATGTCGGCGGATGACGGCATCAGGACCCTCTACCTGGACTTCGGGGGCCCCGAGGGGGAGCTGGTGAGGGAGGGGGCAGCTGGGCTCACACCCCAGCCCTGCTGCGAGACCCCCAGTGTCCCCTATGGGGTTTGTTGTGCTGGTGGCGGAGGCTGATGCTGCTCTCCTTCTCTTCCCCCCCAGGCTCTGGACCTGCACTCCTGCCCTAAGCCCATCGTCTTCGTCCTGCACACCTTCCTCTCGGCCAAAGTCACCCGCATGGGGCTGCTGGCATAGGTGGCCCTGGCCCCCACCTGCCTCCCCCCATCACAAACCAGCTGGGCAAAGCGGAGGGACCCCCCCAAATCCCCCGTCCTGCCCCACCAGTGCCTTGCCAGGGCTTGGACTCGCTGCCCTGAGAGCCACTGTGGATGTGGCAGGATGGCTGCCCTGGGAGGGGGTGAGCCTCTCCTGCTCCACACCGGTGGTCCTGGCCCCCCAGGTGCCAGGGTGGGGGCAGGGCACAGATACCAGCTTTAATCCCCCCCCAGGCCTGAAGCCATCACTGATCTCACCATCTGTGCCTTGGATTGGGGCGAGCCTGACCCTCCTCCGGCATTGGGGGACCCCAGGCATCCCCCACACCCACGCTGGGGGGAGCCAGCACCCTCCCTTGCCTTGGGGCTCCTCCAAAGTGGGGGGGTCATGTTGTCCTTGCGTGGGACCCCATGAGGCCCCCCCTGCTATTGCTGCAGCAAGGGGTCCCCTTGCCCCGCTCAGGGTGGGACACACATTTGTCTTACTTGGGGCACTCACGGGTACAAAAGAGGCTGCCCCGAAACCATGGGGGGGGAGGCTCAACCCTGCAGCACCCCCTGGGGTGCAGGCAAGGGTTCAGCCCCC